TGTAGTTCAACCTGACGAATAAGGAAGGATGTTTTAAGGTAACAAACTAATTCTATCTTTACAAATAATACAAATCAATATCCAGAAGTAGGACAGTGAATTCTCATTACCTGACAACACACTAAAACAAAATTACAACCGTCCAAAGAGTAGATAGGTTATTAACTATAGTTTTTTAAACAAGCATAACTTGTCCGATAACATTATCATAAATAAAAAGAGTTGGTAAAGACATCTCATCGTTACAGAATGTAAATGCATTTTAGGATATGATTTCACGTATCCAAAGACCTTTTTAAATCCCCAAAGTTATAAAGAAGCTTCAATATATTGAATGTTACGACCGGCTTTTACGTCTTTAAGTTTCATTGCTTCTTTTATGATACGGCACAGGTTCCATATCAAAGCTAGCTTTTTCATTATTGTATTGAAGTTTTGGCGATGAATAAAAGCTCTGGATGTCATAGCGACAAACTCTGGAGAAAAAAAAACTTGGTTTCCTTATGTAATAATTGTTTATTTTTTTATCAAATAAAGTTACGATCTTTTACATAACCTACAGATAATACGAAAATACTCGAAATAATAAATTGCATTAAGGGTTTTTATGTATCTGGGGAAAGAACATATTACAAACGATCAGGCATTAGTAGTCAAAAAAATATTGTAAAACTTCATAATAATCGGAACAATAATTAATTAGAGTAATTAGGATACACATTTAATTGATAAAGAGTGATAACTTAAACGATAGTTTATTGCGTGATTTTGATAGGGTGTCGTACTGTCCAAGCATTTCTTAGTTGTTAACCGTTATCAAGGTAATTGAAGTAATTTATAACATTTGATTACATCTGCTAGACACGATTAAAAAAATCCGCAATACCGCAAGGTTCATGATGGCGATACTTGTAATGGTGCCATAGGTAGTTAGTTAGCTTCATGATGTTTCAGTCCAGGGAGCCGAACCCCCATCGGACTGCGGCTGTTCTAGGGCCACGTAATCGGATAATGTAGGTGCAATCGCTTAGAGTAATATATGAAACACGATAGTAAATAATTGGTTCTTTCACATTGATATTTTGTACACTTTAAATAATATACTTTGATTTAGTTGTAGAGAAGCAATTATTTTAATACCACAAAGAATATCATACATATCTATATTTTTTAATCAATTCAACGATTGCCACAAAAATGATGCATACATTTTTATTCCAGCATATTTAATAAAACAATAATTTATATCCAGGCCTGACCAGTTGTTTTCTCAATTAAAGGTGAAAATTCTAAATTATTCCTTGTTCAAATGTAAACAAACATTTTCTACATTAGGATAACATAGGAACCTTAAAGACCACTGGGGCAGAGCACTGATGGAAACATCAACAAAAACAGCAAAGAATGTCTGTGGGTTAAAGCGAAGAAACAACAAAAACTCTTTTAAAAAGGAGGAGAGAATATTTTATTGTTTTAAATGGACATCACACTAGATGACAATAATAAGGACATATAATACCATGTACAACCAAAAGTTAAGCCTCTGGTAAAGAGGAAATATCAGCTGAAGCATTAAAGGAATGAGAAGAAGAAGTTAAAGATAAGTTGTGGTACAAATAATCTGGGAAAGATAAGAATGCCCAACGACTGGAAAGAAGCAATATTTGTTTTAACACGTAAAAAGGAGGAAAAAGAAGAATTTGGTCATTTAAGGGCCATATCCCTCATTAGTATTACTAATAAAGTTTTATCTAAAATAGTAGTAAACCAGATCAAAGAATATAGATGTGAAATATATCAGGCAGAAATACAAAGTAGACTAACAGCCTTGCCAACAGATTTTTCTATTCATTCAACAAACTCTTTTCTTCAAAATAACTGACACGATAAACTAAAATGAGACAATAATCCACGATTTTCAGTCCAACATTACTCAATAGTACAGAAATTTAAATGAAAATTAAGAGAAAAAAATTTTGAAACTATATTTAAAACAAATACATATATAAAAATTTTAAAAACATTTAGAAAAGATTATTGGCCATTTTGTAAGGAGATTGAAGGTAAAACATAATAAGGAAACAATACAATTGTTTTTTTAAAACCTGATGTAGTTTGTGAGCTTTTTTATGTTTTGCTATGTTGTTTTAATGTTTTTTTTTAAGGAAGAAGACCAATAAAAAGGTCCTCGACAAAAATTGTAGCAAAAGGACGAAGATGCCAAAACAGAGAGAGATGAAGGGGCTTTGTTGGTGTGTCCAAATATCTCCTGAAATATGCGTGGCCATTAGGTAAGTGAATTAGTAAAAACCAAAAGTTTTGAGCGATTCTGAGTGGATTTAGCTTTTTATATTATAGCCAATTTAAGCCTTTTTCATAAACTATGTTTAAGAATGTGAGATAATTTAACGTTTACAATTGCTCAATTTAACCATATTGTTGAACAACTTCAACAACAACAACAACAACAAACCCGGTTAAATCTTAATTAACGTGATGTAGTGTCCTGAAATTTAAATAATATAACTTCTCCCGAAACCTTGTTAAATACTTATCTCTATTAATTTTCTGTTTATTAGTGTATGTTATTTTATTAAGTAAATGGGCATATTTATTTTTATTTCTTATCTGTTGTAATGAAGGTTTAAGTATTGCTATAAAGTTTACTTAATACGAAATTAAAGATACCCGACTGAATTATTGCTCTAATTTATCGTGACTATTTCTAATGACCAGTGAGTTTTTCTATATAGAAAGGGTTTATAGTATGGCAATTTAAATTTGGACCAGCAGATGGTATTATTATCATGCTATCAATTAAATGTTTTGATGGTAGTAGGAGCACAACAACTATTTATAATAATTTAGCTGTAAAACTGCTAAACACACAAATGAATAATTCAGAAAAGTATTTATTGTTCATCGTAGTTATAATATGGGAAATCGTGTACTGTGTACAGTAATGTTAATACAAATAACTAATTTATGATGAATAAAATGTTATTTGCGGTATCATTAACTTTTGAAGCTAAATTAAATGGTGAAAAGGCATTTATCAATTTTGCTAAAGGAAAATTAACTATTTTCGAGTAAAAAACATTATTCGGATTGAACTGGGTTGACTCTTAAAAATAAAGATTAGTTTACAAATTTTTACTATCGTCTTATCTAACACAAACACACATATATTCGGATATATTTATTTTTTCTTAGAAATATTAGTGTATACTATGCATATTAGTGTACACTAGTCATATTAGTGTATACTAGTCATATTAGTGTATACAAGACACATTATTTGGTATCGATCAAGGTATTCTTGGTTTTTCCTAAAGAAATTTAATTTCTTCTAATTCAATTTATTTCAACTCAAGGTAATCAAATTGTGATATAAGCTTATCAAAAGAAGATTGCTTCCAAATAAATTATGTAAAATATAGTATTAATTGGCTGACGCCATTTTCTGTACGTTTTAAATTAGACTTTTTACAAATTAATAAAATGTGGTGAAACATTTCTTTGGCGATCCTCGCAATTATAGAGCCAAGAAAAGTGTTAACACCTTAAATTACAACTAGATAAAATTTGATTATCCCGCTATTTAATAAGGAACCAAAGTGGAATATAAGATACTATAATTAATTTCATTTAGGTTAAATTTTATTAGATTTCCATAGTATTGAACTATTGTAAAATGTGTATGGTAGTAATTTATCTCACAAAAAACGTTATACAGAACAGAGTTAAGTTTATTTATCACAAGAATACTAGCTATCTTTCAAATTCAACCTAGATTTGGTTATAAAAAATTACTAAATACTATAAAAAAACTACATTTTAAGTTGTGTTTATAGTGTTGTAAGCCAAAATATTAAATATTTAAGTTTCAAATATATTCGAGTGATTTATGATATCGCACGTGATTTCCTGCATATTCACACTTGCCTAATAATTTTCCAAGATTACCTGAGACCAACCCATAACATAATGGCAGCCATCTTGAATGCTTTGCTGATGGGAAGGTCAAAGTGCATCGGACCCGCCAACACAGAAGTACAATTCCAGTTTTAAGCAGAAATATCGTTCAAAAAATGGTATAACAAAAAAGTTGTTTTTAACTTAAAGAAGGAATTGGTAAAAATACAAAAGTTTTAGATGTGTTAGGGATGATTTGAATGAATCAATGACACTTGTGTTACCGATTTGAATGAACCTTTGGTATCGTTGCTTTTTTATACAACTAAATCGTTTAAACAGTTTTTCTGTTCGTTCTAAATACCATTAATCAAACGTATACCGCATCACTCTTTAAACCATAGTTTACATGATTGGTTTGGGAACTAAATAAAGTAATCGGAGAATAATAAATCAATATAGAACATTTCTTACTGAGGTTAACCAGTGAACAGTTTGTCTTTTCTAATCAACGTGTCTTGTTCCTTAGTTCCAAACCGAATTTTGAGCTTTAAATTGTTGCTTTATTATCAGAGTTATAATTATGGAGGTTTCTCTTCCACTAGCTGACTCCGTCTTGTTCTTTGTCGGTGTCGGCCAGTAGGGCAGCGATGTTGTGGTAACACAAGGATCGATGAGGGAGTGTTAAATAATTCATACAGCGAGGCAAGTGCAACAAGTGGTCTCTCCTACCCTCGCTGCCGCCCTGCTGCCCTGACCCCGCCTCCTCCCCCCCCCCACTGCTAAGCAATATGGATTTTAAGCAATAATTATTTAATTAAACTATCAAACCTGCCCAGAGAGATTAAATTTTAACTACCTTGGGCTTCAATAAAAAGTATTGAAAATCTGTTTACGACTAGGCAACTTGTCTATAATTTCGCTTCTAATGTTGATTATTTGACAAATTCATTGATAAATTCATCTACGAATAACATAAGAACCAAAAATAACACTTATAAATAATGGAATACATGTGTTTGCAAAACCTGTAAAAGTTTTTAAATTGTAAAACGGCAGTTTAAAATCAAACTACTTTTACTTACCGAGTAAGCGATTCTGTGAAGCGTCCGAGGTCACAGCGTCCACAAAAAATCCATTTCACATGTTTTGACACTTACACTCAATCCACTCTTACCAAACAACTATTCGCTTAGTAAACATGTAGAAGTGGCAACTAGTAAGTATGCTTCTCGGACGAGCAGGCGACGCGGCGGTTCGCTCGTAGGGACGCGCGGCGGTCTACTGAGGCGTCCAGAACAGCGCTGTAGCGGCGACGCTGACAACTACGCCGCTCACAGACACGCCCGCCCCCACCCGTATAATTGCTTATGAACATAACAACTAGGTAAATTAGAAATTAACTAACATTTAGCTTAAAACAAGCAAATAACACCGACGCTGATTCATATTATCTCACGCGAAAGGTGTTTATAAATTAGGTTCTGTAAATTTGAAATAGCCATACGTTGTTAAAACAGCAACAATAGAACACCTAAAGAACATTTTCTTAATTTTTATTCATGCCTTTATTTGTAACTTGTATGCTATTACTATACATTATCATGATGTGAGTAATATTATTAAATCTAGAACGACCTTGTATGCGATGTTTTGTAGCATTGTGAATATGTGAACCTTTTTTCCCATGCCACAAATATCATTTTATTTTGAAGAAAAATACAGTACTTTGAAAAGATTTTACCAGGAAACATGATTTCATTATATCACAAACGAGGTTGTTTAAGTCTACGAATTGCATAGCAATAATAGAGCTATAATAGTGTTGTTATTATACACTTCTTTAGGCTAGGTACCGAACCAAAAAGATCTTTAGGTGCTTTATGGTAGTGGAGTTTTTATTAAAGGAAAAGTTTCTTGCTGCGGGGGCCTTATGGATGACAGTGACAGACTTCAACATTGATGTTAGGCGGTTTGCTGCTTGGTAAATAGATTTATTGAATCACTAGCAATCAGCTTACTTAAACGCTACAATAATCTTATCCACATTATCTAAATTGATGTTGTTACCCTGATATCCGATATCCGATCCATTTGATATTTATACATTTTCAAGATACACTGAAACCCGTTATGTATGCATCGGAACTACTGGTACAAGCACACTTTTGTATAGTACCACAGAATAGCCATTTTTAATCTGTGATAAAACTAGACAAAACATATTGGATTGTTCAGTTACCTAGAGTAAACAAGTAATTGCTCAGAAATTCCTATCAGTGTAATGGCCCCATTACTTCAACAAATTGCCAAGAGTTTTTTGCTTTATATACATTTTCTTTCAATTTAAAACATTGCCTGTTTAGTTATCTGGGCTTTGGATATCAATAATATCCAAACCTAACTACATATTTACATGAATTACTCAAATAATATTTTTGTCGATGAAATTGTTTAATACACCATACAAAATATGTTATTTTGCTAATTTCTATTTCCAATTTAATGTTTTCATATAAACCTGAGACCAGCCATGATGGATACATAGCTAGCCACTGTACTGTACTGGATAGTTATTTTTAGCAATCAACGAATATTAGCTATAAACCTAATGTTTTTACACGTTTGATATTTTAATTTGTTTTGTTTAAGTTTAATATTCTATATTTATTACGCTAGAGAGTGCGTATTTATCAAGTTAAGAGACTAGACTCATACATTTGTTGAATAGAATTGGTTTTCATTTGTTGTTTGACGTTTGGTACAAAATTATTGGATAATGTGGTATGGCAGTTCTAAGAGACATATTATGTTGTTGTGTGTTTTGCGGAAATAAACTAATTATTATTTCATTCATTATTTTATAAATAAATGTATGCCATGATACTTATTTCTTGTTTATTAAAACTATAGGGCTCTATCATATTAACTATTTATCGGTATTGTTTACTCTTGCAAATAAGTAGGACAGCAACTAAATACATGTTAGCTTTTACTTGTTTTTGAAAAAGATTTTTCTTGAGCCTAAATACCAGGTTAAACATGTATTTTAAAGTAGAAATCCAAAAGTATTTATTTCAGACGTTAACGTGATTAGACCGATAATACACGATCTTTTTCTGATGATTTGTAATTAATTTGTCTTTGGTCACTAAGTCACATCTGGGTAATAGAGATGAGGTAGACATAACTGCATGGCAGTTAGGGGGCACGAACCTAGTAATGCGATCCAATCAACTATTAACACTAATGTAACCACTGTTAATGAAGGCAGTGTACATGATCACTTTGACGGTTTTCTGAAAATCCTCTCCATATAATCCTGAACTTCGACAGAACTATTTACAGGTGAAGCTTTATTTGTCACACGAATCATTTTGTCGTAATCACAAACGCGTTGTTAGCTATGATGACGGTCTAGCATTTAGTGCTTCATCAAACATGAATCAATAATCAGATTTTCATTGTAATCGTTCGACAACTGAAACCAATATAATTACTGGTATTGTTGGAATACAATTGTCTCTTAATTGACAAATCCGTCTATATTGTCAACATGCAGTATCGATACTTATACATATTTGTAGGTCAGAAATAGAATTCCTTTAAAAAATATGTGAATGGATAACCACCTATTTTATTGAAATAGAAATATGTTTTTATGGCAAGATACTATCATTATCACTGTATCTAAGAGGGGCATTAATTTTTAAAGTTCATGTGTTTGAGAAGTTTTTAGAATTGCGGACTCATTTCTTTAATTGAGTATATGCTAGTACATACTAGCATTAACGTAGTATTAACTACGGCTAAATTGTCTCAATATAATCCTTATATTTTTACGTTAAAATTGTTGCAACTAATCAAGGTAGCTGAAATTAAGATTTCACAATGAATTGTTATAGTTTCCATCTCCCAGGCATGTTTCCTGTGTTCCACGCAATGCAATGGTGGATATATATCGTGTATTAGGGAAGAAACTGAGATAGTTTCCAACGCTCAAAATCTGTTTCGTAGTCGTTACTCCTCCCTATAGACGTTAGACAACAACAGCAAAAAATCATGAGTCGAGTTCACTGCATAACTGGCCATGGTGAATGTGATGTGTGTTCCGAAATAAACTGTGATGGTTTCCAACACTCTGGACGAGATAAACACGTCGATACTCGTCCCAGTGGACTTAGGGAAACACAAACAATCACGCGTCAAACCTAGAGGTAACCTAGCGTAAAGCCAACAGTAATTATGAGCGTTTCAAGCGAAACTTTTGTTTGGTCACGGTAAGTTTGCCTTTTTGGTAAAGGTAGCCTAACATTCGCTTTTCCATAGCATGTTGTATGAATAAGCTTAAACGGCGTAACACAGTGACAATCACAATTAAAAGAAAAGAATTTCTTTTGTTAGTACACTTAACCGGTTTATATTTCAATATATGTAAATACGTTGTTAAATAAATATAAATATACATACAAAAATATTCTATCTCCCTTAATATTGTTGTTAATATCAAGGTTATATAACATATAGTTTCAAGGTATTGTAGTGAGATAGTTTATAACATTATATAAAGTATTTAACATATACATTAGTATATATTTTAGAATCTTATTTATTGAATTAAAATCAAATTGCTACTCTTTGCTACTAAAGCAAACATATTAGCAACATATTAGGTAACATGTTAAAAGCTTGGTATAAAACCAGCTAATTAATCAGCAGTATAAAACTCTATAATAATGAAATCCAGGTTCTAGGTGACGAAGAAATTCTACTTAAGTATAAATAATATGACTAAAAACAGTCGTGTTGTTTTTTACATACTGTTTTATTACAGAAAACATTGAAAAGAGGGGGTTTGATATAATTTTAAAAGATTGTATCATATAAGGAGGTCATTCACTGGTGCAATGATTTTCGTTTGATAGTTTCCGACACTCTGTTGGATTGTAATCCATTTAGTATTATTCGAACAACAAGAGAATGCAGACAATGCGTAAAAACTAATTACTATATTGCAGCTTAATAGCCTATTTTCCCATGACAGATACAAGTGGAAACTCAAGCTGCCACTCAATGGTGCACTCATTCTACTAATATTGTATATCAATGCAAGGAAATCAATCACTAAAAAATGTATCTGCATGATGTATAATACATTTAGATAGTATGACATACTTAATAATAAAACAAAATAGTATTTCATTCTAGTCTAACGCAAAACACATGTAAAATGTCAGTCAAGCTAGCACATAAATGTATCAACAACAACGTTATTATTCTCTACGCTAAGAGGCTTACACAACTAAGCCTGCAAACAACGGTTTAAACGACGAGAACCGTCTCCCTGATTTACAGCTCACATTTATTTTTCATAAAATTTTGGAGTTCGTTTTTTGAAAAGCGTTCTACTTTTACTCTTATAGTATATGACTAAATAAGAAAAGATGCTATATCTCGAAATCGAAACGTGTAGGGCGAGAGCACCCGCGAATAACCACACCCAGTGAATTGCCGTTACGTATACAAAAGTTATGTACTAAGAATTATTGTTTTGCTTAGCCTTACACAAACGGTCTATTTTGGAGCCTGATTGGAATATATGCCTAATCTGTCTCTTGTTCAATTAGAATGTGTCAATCCGTCCTTTTATATCGAAAACAAAAAATGAGTTTCAACCAGTTCATCTTCAACCTTCCAACTATAGTGTCTCATGCAAACAAGATATGAATATATATGAATATATGAATATACATGCTATATATGAATATACAATATATGAATTAATGGGAAATTCAATATATTATAAGAAATTTATAGTAAGCGTGTTAAGGTGCAATGCTGTACTCATTTTACGATCAACATGCTAACTAAATATTATTTAAAGAGTTGGCCATGTATTGGATCACAACTGTGGATATGACCAGGGAATGGCCGTTCCGGCCATTAATGAACTATATTAAAATATCCTTTTACGTTAATTTGGCATTAATAACAGTTACTAAGAATGAATAAATCCAATATTTAGTCATAGTTAATTAAAGATATGAGAATACTGAAGTTAAACCAAGGAAGAACTTTATTCACAACAAAAACGATCTTTTTTTACCGATAGCTAACTACTCTCTCTGGAATAACGTATTTACTGTTTTCACCGAAATGCTGTTTCCACTGTATCTAATTTCACTTAAAAGTATACCTTGAACCCGAATTTGCCTAAAGAACATATAGTTCTCTCTTAACTTTATTGAAAAGTAGAAATTG